TACTGAATATTTTGAGATCAGTTTCAGGTAAGTTGCTTAAATCAATTAATCAATGAAAGTAAATTAAATACATACTGTACAAGTACTCCAACGCTGATATAAAAAGATGTTTGAGGTACTGAGTGACAATATCTATGTAGTTTTTTGAGAACTTGTTATTATGTTCTTTGTGATTTTACATATTATGAATGGTGGTTTTTAGGAGACACCTTGACCATACATATAAATACGAGTATCACCTTCAAAAGTTTATCCTTTCGACGTCAAGACACTTCTAGAGTCGGAGAGCCTGACGTAATAAAACATATATATAATTTCGGGTTCATAAAGCCAAAGGTGTTTTCCTGAAGTAAAACCGCAGTTACACTAGTTACACTACGATTGGTTATCAAAATGTTTGTGGGCTAGCGCCATAAAATTTAAACCGCGATGGGCACTTACATCAATGACTTTCATAAAAAAGTAACATCATCTTTTCCATCTATATAATAAACTATAAATCAAAAGTTTTAATTTTTAATAAATTGTTAATGTTTTTGCAAGCAATGGTATGTCCAGGCGGTGCAACCTCAAAGGTGACGTTTTTTTCTACCTGAGTGTATCTGTGAAAAAATCATTTGATATAAGCATTTTTCGTCCAAATATACCTTTATTCACTCAGGTGGTATGACACAGTTATCCCGTAAAATTTGCAATTTTTATTCCATTCTGTAAGTTTATGAAATTTTATCGTAAATTTTATATGAAATGTCGAAACAAAAAAGGACTTGAAAATGCCGTCAAAAAGGGGGAGTCGTTTCTTTTTCCAACATTGTAAGTTTCACCTCTGAAAGAAACCTGGCATAGACCTAGAGAATGTTTAAACGGGCTAAAGAGAAAAACAATGCATCCAGAGTACATGTTCTTAAATGCCGAAAAAGATTCAGAGAGATGAGAGATGCACAGTAGATGTCGATTTGTAGTCAGGTTGTCCAACGTCAATCACGTCGAAAAGTGACGTTGATCATGTTTGGTAGATATTGAACTCCGACAAGTAAATTATGCTTGCATAATAAAGTGAAAATCATTCCCTATGTATAGATCCATTTAAATATTATATGCATTGAAATCAGTTGTTCATGACATTGTTAAAGCTGAACACTACTCATAAATAGGAACCGGCACACAGGTATATAAACCCTTCGATTTCGTTACACCCGATTGCACACTTGAAACTTGTGGCCGACGTGTAGTATTCCTTTCGTGGTCTTAGATTTTTTTGCGTTTATTCCTTGTTTTATGTGCATTTTGTGTTTGTAAATAATGCATTGACTTGTATATTTGATGTTACTTTTCTCCTAGCTCGGTTAAGTGCGTAAAACTTGATAATTTTATCGCGACCGAGTAACACGGCAATGTAAGATGTACGACTTTTCAGGTATAAGACCTCTACAGCGAAATACTTTGAACTGTTAAGAGATCTGCGGTTTATATAGGGGTTGTTGAGCAAGCGCCGATGAAAGGGAAATATGGAGGACAATGCCTTTCACGAGTAGTGTTCAGCTTTAAGTCATAAAAACAAGACAGGTTTAACAAGGTTTAAATCTTTACTTAACTAAAGGTAATCTCATCAAGTTATATGTATGAAGTAGAGGGAGCGGACATTGAGAAATAATGATGTTGTCGGACGTCATAAAACTGAACGTGGACAGCACCTGGTGATCATATAATGTTTTTTTTTTTTGATAATTTGGCAATTATCAACGTATCAAACTGAACTTTTCAATACTTCTTGAACTTTTGTTGTTTTGTGTTCCTTATAAATTTTGTTAGCACAAACTACAAAGTATTAATTTTATCAGTCCACGAACTTTTTGTTAAATCCTAGTACATATAAATATTTTATATAAACTTTTCATAGTTTTACATATGAATACGGCACGATTGTTCTTGAGTCGATGGATTTTTTTTCTAAATGTAGTAAGGCTACGGTGTAGATACGTGACGTCATGAAAATGGGTCTATCGTGTTCTAACGTATTAATCACATGTCAATTATTGTTTATATTACGCTTCAGCATGAAAGTTGTAAAAACAGCTGTAACTCATTTAAGTACAATTTTTTATGGTTGTTGAAAAAATGCAGCACTGTATTCTTGCGTTATTTTCTCTATATATTGCATTATGTAACATTTTGTTTTAATATATATGTTGAAATTGATTAGTGTCGCTTGGTGTGAAACATTTTAGGATAACCATACTTGTAATCATAAACTTCTTGTGGAATATGCTATATGCAGTTTTCCCCTACATTTTTGTTTAATATCGATTATGTAATTTTTTAAAATCTTTTTTTAAAGAAAATTTAACCATGCTAATTTCATCACTTTTTTCTTGAAAGCACAAAGTCTATGTACATTTGCGAGATAAATCATTAATATAGTAACTCATAAGATTCATTGGATATAAGGATTTAATTCAATATTTCTGGCTGTTCTAAGGTAATACATCTTTGACTAGATGAACCTGGAATTTTATATACGGTTTTTACATTGAGGCTGTCGTCCAGGAAATCGCATTTCGCTATAAATGTGTATAAATCTGGTTTCTAATATGGTTTATTACTTTAACCGCCGTCGAAAGGAGGTGAAGAACACCAAAGCTTATGACCAAAAAAATATTACGGATCGACTAAGGTTATAATTAAGCAAAGTGAAACAAATGAAAATGAATTTATAAAGCAATTCAAGCGATACTATGGCTTTCGAAAAATGAGTTAAATCAACGTAAAAATGTGTCACCTAAAAAGCAACATTCTTATATATGTAAATTCACAAAGTACGTAAATTCACAGGTGATCTACGGTAATAGAGGGGATCTATAACGCAAATGAGAAGGTTTTTATTGAAAAACAGGCATTTTATCGAAAAAAAAGACTTATTATGTCATTTACTAGTGTATATATTAAAAAATTCAACAATTATTGAAAGTAAATATTCATAAAACTTTGCTTGTTATAACCTTCGTGTAATGGGCACAAGTATTCAGCGTGATAATTTTTAAGCAAGCTTGAATCAGATTTTTCTTGAAAAATCCTATAGACAAAATTTTGCCAAAGTTCGGAAAATATCTAATTTTTCTTGCATATAACAGATATCCTCAACAAGATTGCGTATACTCACAGTTGATTTGTGTTGATACATTTTCAATAATGCCTAGAAATAGTTTTACAGGCTAATATTTTTATTGCTTTCAGGTCATTCCACTGTGAAAATATGCGAAGGTCACCGCGGCTACATAAGCTGTGACAACAACAAAACTATTCGCATCCTTCGTGCAAACTATGGAAGAACAGAAGGTGCCAATATTTAATTGCCCTCATTCGTCAATTAGAGATATCGATTGCTACTCGACTAAGTCTGCTCTCGTAGTGAAGGCCAACTGCAACAGAAAAAGAAATTGTCTGTTGGATACAAACAACAGAAAATATGGTGATCCGTGCAGAGGGACTTATAAGTATTTATCAGTGCAATTTACATGTATACCTGACTCCGTCTGAACCCTACTGTTGATCATCAAAAAGAAATATCCTTACATTTTCAACAAAAAGATTAAATGAATTTTTACTCGATAAAAAATTCATATTATGTTAGTAATATTTAAACAACGCATGTATTGTGCCTCATGGGAAAAATCAGACTGTCTTAAAATTTTCTAATTTATCAAGCAATTTTACGCAAATGACATTTAATGAATAACATTCTACTTATGCTCATTTGAATATTATGGTAAATTTAATGGGGATCATTAATATAGTTGTAGGACATTACTTCTTAAGAGTGTTTGTTAATTTGCATGTTTTGGGTGAGAGGGGTTCTTTGATTTAAAAAAAAATCGTGTAATACATGATGTACTTCAGAAAATTTCTGTTATACATATTACAAATGTATTACTTATTTTTTCTCGTTTAGAGGAAGGAAATGGCGTTATTTAAAAATTAATAAAAATGTAATTCTTTTTAATTCAGTGTTTTGATTTCACAATATTTTACCTCTAAAGTAAAATGTCCAGTCCCATCACTCTTCAGAAATTAACTACATGTTAATGACGTATTTCATATTTGTTAAGCCATTATTTACACACTGAATTCTCTACGGATTTTTCGTTTGCCCGATCATGACAAGGAGCACACGGCGGGGGTGTGAACTGTCAATAGGGGATGCTTACTCCTCCGTGGTACCTGATTCTACCTCTGATGTTTTAAGAATTCCGTGCATGACGTGTTTGCTCTGCTCCCGTTTTGTATTGTTTGAGAGGATTTTTGAGTTTAATTACTGTTTGCTATCTCCATATATCATACTATTTATTTGTTTTAAATTATGAGACATTTTACATCCAAAATATTTCAAAAGACAAATTACGATATTTTCTGTCTTCCATAAGACAAGAACTGGCGTATTTGTTTTTCTTTAATTTGAAGAGTTAAACATAATACTTGGATTTAAATTTTTAAAAAAAAATAGAAAAGGATTTTTAAAAATATTTTACATTATCATTTGCTAATATCCTTATTTTTTTACATTAAATTTTCTCTAGCCTTTATATAAGCTTCCGACTTTTTCATGGTTCTGAATTTTTCACTGTAAAAATTATACACATATTACTTCCAGATATGCAATCAATCAGGTGTTACGACCGCAAAGGGTATATATATATATACCGAGTATATCCTAGTGTTGATATCGGAACAGAATACGACTAATGTTTAACTTTAAGTTACCTACTATCGTACACGTGTGACCCACAGTGCAGGGTTCAGTTTCTTTAATGGATTAAGACCAAATAATGTGAACAGTTGATACGTGTAAGTAGAAGTAGGAAGAAATTTAATGCTTGTCATAAAATGGATTTAACGATTAGACAGTGTATCGCTGGATTACTTATTGCATTTCTTTTTGGAGCCGCATACATTTTTGAAGCGAGATTGAATGATGTTTACAAGGAAGTAAAACAACAAAATGAGTTGTCTTCCTTTAAGCTGAAAGACCTGCAATCGAAAGTAGAAATGTTGGAAACATTTTATAGGGCTTATGTCGAAGAAAAGAGAGACGGGGAGAAACTTGAAAAGAGGGTTGAAGCTTTAGAAAAAGACATTGATAATATTAAAAAGAAAGGAGAAAGCAAAGGTAAATCCTATATATATATATATAGAGAGAGAGAGAGAGAGAGAGAGAGAGAACTCTGAATTAATTTTTTTATGCCCCCGTCATCGAAGATTCGGGCGTGTACAGTCTTTGTTATGTCCGTCTGCCTGTATGTGTATGTACATGTATGTTTGTTCGCAAAAACTCTAACCTTGTCTATAACTTTTAAATGGTTTGAGCTATGGCTATAATATTTCAAATGTGTATTCCTTATGACAGGGGACTTTTTGTTTTGTTTTGTTTTGTTTTTTTTTTTTTTTTTTTTGTTTGTTTTTTTTTTTTTTGTTTTGAACATATTTTATTGACAATGTGTCAAATGGATTGGACACAAGTTCTAGAACTTAGATAGTCCTCTCCCATACATAAAATCTTAATAGCCATACAACATTTACAAAGATTTACAATTTTACAATATTATACATGAACGTAGAAGAACAAAGACAATAGTTATTATTGCTAAGGAATATCAATTGAGCCGTCCCATGCGAAAAGGGCCCTTAAGGTAAAAATTTTCAAAATTGACTTTTCAATGGATTATGAGAGATTATAGTGTAAAATAACCAAATATAAAGTTTGATTCAAATATTCAGAATAATTACTGAGATATAGGGAATCAAAGGTTAAGAAAATGTTAAAATTACCTTGAAAAATGACGTTGAAAAATGACTTTCGAACTGACGTTTTTTTTTTTACTCCCATAAATATTGAAATATGTATCTGATTGAAAAAAAATTACTTTATCACACGAAAACATACATGAAAAATTTATGCATAAATTGTTTTCGTTAAAGTATTATATAGTAAGTGTCGAAACCATTTCAATATTAGTTTAATTTTATAAAGAGGAGGTGATTTGGACTCTGTATCAGACGTAAGTTACATGTGCATTTTAAGAGTGTCGACATTTTTGCATGTCACATAAATGTCCATTTTGATCAAATGTAGTTAACACACATGATTTAAAAAAATCCGATAAAAAAATTCTTTATGTAAGTTTTCTCATAAATAAAACACAGATAATGGTTTTATATCCGTAAATACCCGGTAAGCTTTTTTTTTCTTTTAAACACTCGCGACGTCATGTTAGACGTGAATATTGCTCTGATATACGATTCAGAGAAAAGTAAATATTGAATAAAAACAAATAAATAAAAGATATGTGTTCAGATATTTTACAGACTAGTATTTTATTCATTTGTAGTTTATGAAAAATATTTTTTAAAAATTTAAAAAGAATATGTAAGATAAGACTGATAACATCGCGTCTTCCTTGTAATAATAGAGTTCATTGTTTGATAATTTTTCATCATAAGGATATAATTTTTGTTGTTTTATGCATGACGTAGATGAATTTATGAAAGAAAGCTTGAAGGGCGGATACAGAAAATTGATCCGCAAGGGGGGGGGGGGGGGGGGGGGGCATCTACAGTAACACAATCCAGTTAAAATTTTCTAACAAGTCAAAAAATGAAGTTTGAGGAGGTTTTCTGACAAATTAAATGAAGTTTAGGGGAGGGGGAGGGGGCAATATGTACCTACAATACTGAACATATGTGTATTCATTGTCCTGCATTGGTAAATATTGACACAGGCAATAATAAGTGCCGAGACAATCCCTTCCCCCTTTTACATGTGTAATGTATGTTTCTTATGATATTGTACATATTAGAACATCTGTCAAAACTGGTTGATCGCCCTCTCCGACCGGCTAAAAATGGCATGACTCAAAACTCATTTTAACTGTCAGGAAGCATTTTTTAAAATTGTATTTCTGAAATAGATTTCGAAAATTCAGCATTGATATTAAAATTTTCTGGGGAAAAAATTCTCATCTACCTACCGATCCAATTTTTTCGTCCTGAGTCGCGAGAGGGCATACAAACATTATTTTAAAGTTGGTCATATTCCCTACATATTGGCGTAAACCGTCACAATATTTGCACTGCCTATTTGCTCTGTACCGATTTATAAGCAGGTCAATATTCGTATGTGTTGCAGTGAACATGTAATCTCACAAAAACTGAGGATGAGGATATAATTTTCGTATTATCATCATATCCTTATACAGTCATTATAAGTTCAGAATATATTTTGAAGTTTGAAGTTTTTTTTTATGTCTCATTGATTCACCATGTAAACCCCCCCCCCCTTTTTTTCGCTAAATTTTGTTTGAAGAAAAAAAAATCAAAAGCTTAGGCCTACATATTCTTCCATTCATTTTCTGGTTCTCAAATTTTGTGGAAGTATGACCACTTAGTTTGGGTCTAATAAGATATGTCGATGATCGGGAAAGAGGGAATGTTGGCAGTGAAATGGCTGCGGGCCGGAAGTAGTAGTGCTCTATTCCTAGGACTCTTCCCGAAATCACATATTATAAATCCAAAGTAACGAGTAAATCAGTTTCCGAGTTTATTAAAGCAACAATTTTAACTTTCAAGAAATACATGCGGGGACACAGACGGAAGTGGCCAGTAATTTTTCGGGTCTCCGGACACATACAATTTAGATACTGGTATGTAACAACAATTAGCGAATTGAGTGATAAAATGACATGTATTGAGTATTTTTTTTATATACGGCTTTAAAAAGTGTTGAGGGCAATTTACACTACATAAAGATTTGTAACACTAACAACCTGTCGTTTCAAGCTCGTAAAATTTTGACACTTTATACTAGTATCTGTGAAACGCCCCTTGACCCGAGGTCTGATAAATTTGTACGCATTGGATATCTACTGAGTAACGTCTGGTGGAATCGCCGACATTGCTAAGCACTGTCATTTTAGCTCAATTTTCTTTTGTCGAAAAGGGATTTACCCCCTACCGAAATGCATTTTTTCTTTGTTTGTTTTTTTTTTTTTTGGGGGGGGGGGGTATTTTTAACTTGTCATTTTAAGCCCCCTTTCTTTCTGAAATCGTTGTTACATATATCATGTACATGCCTTAAGAAATGGCCAAATATGATTCATTAAAAAAATAAACAGTCATTCTTCCCATTTATCAATTCAAAGATTAAACGGAATTTATTGCAAACCTTCCTACACAAAAATGTATTTATTTTCGTAACCTTTAATTCAGACAAACACTGCATCTTTGGAAGAAATTAAATTAATAATCAGATGCAATATTACAGGGAAATAAATCTGTATTCAATCTTTAAGATTTAATTTCCTCGTATTATGTTTTGGGGTTTTTATAAATAATGACGCATTATTTACTAGGAATTAAATGCAGGCATGTTGTATGGGGGGGGGGGGGGATTCCATATTCCATACATAATGTTTCACTGGTAATTGATTGATATAGAATGAAAATGTTCACTGAATGGCTAATTGCACCCACCTCTAACAACCCCCATCCCCACCCCCCATTTTTTGAAGCAAATTCAAATCTTCCCATATTATACATTAAAAAAAATCTGGTCAATTTTTTTTTGTTGTTGTTGTTTCAGCATTTACTTTTTTCTCATTTTTTTTCCGCCTAGTCCAAGACTTCTAACAAATGATACTAGATTTTATTCTCAAATTTCAAGAAATATATATCGAAGCAAACACATTAGTTTCGCTCAACCAGAAGCTAGGCTGTCTCCGTAAACAGTAAAAACCGGTTCTTTACTTGAATGAGACAACAAACACATTGACCCGAAAATGACCGTGACGAAGGCAGATCGTCATTTATCGCGTTTATACACACAGAATAAACGTTTTGAAAACAAAAATCATTTTTTTTTCTTCGTTAAATTTAATGCTTTACAAAGAATCAACCTTTTCAAACTTCGTCATTTGCTACATGTAGAGCTGAACAAAATTTTAATCGCATATATAAACCTATATGCTGGGAACGGTTTAAGAATTTTTTTTTCATTTATTGTAAATTATTTCACTTCGGTTACTATGTATTAGTGTTAAAAAGGATGTGTACATGCAGAAGTATATATCGTTTATGTGCATGTACAATCGCTTTCAATGTATTAAGAATTGGATAAAAAAAAACAAAAAAAAAAAAAAAACTAGCACCTAATTACATGTATATCAGCAAAATTTAACATTCAATATTGGAAATGTCCAATTATATGGAACTTAGCTCTAAAATTCATATTCTCTTTTTTCTTGATATTTTATTGGCTCTAAATGATATAAACAACAATGAAAATAAGTTGATAGCGCTCAGATAAAAATGCTGGAAAAATATATAACATACGCGACTTGCATTTTGTGACGTTATCTTTACCGGCGTTTTTCTCATTATGACGTCAAAATACATAAGGGCCCTTTTCGCATGGGACGGCTCAATTGATATAATAATGATTATAATGACGTCAATAACCATATTAAAATAGTTTCAAAAGGTAGTAAATACAAGTACACGTAAGTGTTATTTGAAACGACCAGTATCCTGAATAAATTTTTGAACAATACCTAATATTTTTTCATTTTCCTGCAAAGATAATGATTCATCTCCCCATAACAGTTTATGCCCATTTAAAATTTTTACATTATTAATTACAAGTAATGCATTCATCATTAAACGCCTAGCTTCAAGATATTTTCTACACACAAAGAAATAATGATGACTATCCTCCTTATATCCACAAGAACAATTTGGATTCGTTATAATGTTACATCTATACAAGTCATGATTTAAAATACAATTGTGCCTTGATCTTGTATGTAAAATGTTCAAATACCTTTTGCCGTATGATAGATACTTGGGAGGCTTGTCATTATTATTATTCAATTTTCTTTTAAAAATTCCTATTGAAGTTATTTCCCTTGTTTCATTACTCAATGAATTCCATTTACGAATAGTATCAGGGACAAATGACTTTTTTAGTCATTCAAGCCTGCACTTCGGTAAAAAATAATTACTTGAATTACGAGTATTGTAATTTGAAACACTGTTTCTAACTACAGGTACTATATTTTTTAAATAACCAGGTACTAGGTTATTGTGGATTTTAAACATTGTTAAAAGTTTAGCTTT